ATACACACAAGGGCACTAGCTAAAACTTTGCTACCTGACACAACAGTGTTGCGTATGATACTTTGCATTGTCTTGTTTTGTTTTAAGCACAGACAAGCTATTTGGCCCTGTGGGATTCCACTCACCATCTCAAGTGACACAGCCCAGGCACATACCTACCACTTCAGGGCTAAAGAGCACATGAAACAGAAGATAAATGGCTGGATCTCCCATTTTTTAAATTCAAGGTTACCCTGAAAGGCAGAGGAAGAATAGCAACCGGATGTAATGCTTTGCCCCATGCTCTTCCTGTTTCTCCGTTTAAAATCGCAAACCTCCAGAGGCTCATTTGCCCTGCAGAACAGGTGGGTATACAGGCAAAGTATTCCTAGCATCATCTTCGCCATCACTGTTTACACACATCATCCTGCACAGAATGGTGTGGAAAGTCTGAAGCACTCTGCAGTCCTCTTGGTGGGGTTCTCTAAAAGAAGGCAATAGGATCAGTCCGTATAATAACCCTCCACGTCCTTATCTGAGGGGAAGGAAGCACAATAACGTCTTCGAGTTGACATCATCCTTTCATTTCGAGGGATCTTGAGCACAAAACATTACAACGATACGTTGCATGTGAAGACGGCTCTGGAGGACGATGTGGAAACCTTCAGTTAATACAAACGACGGGGCTTGGTCTACAGAACCCATCTTGACCGAAGGTCACCCAGTATTGAGATCACAGCCCGTGTTGTTGCTTCGCAGGCCTAATTCAAGGTCTCAACTTTTGCAACCACAAGCAGCTTCGGATCAGCCACATTCAGGACCAGCTTCTCCCGCACAAACTTCTTGTTAAGCCCGACAGGGGCTGGATGTTCCCTACGGTTCCTTTCTAGCTTTGCAGTTCTAAGGTGATGATAATGATGATGATGATGATGACCTACTCAGCAGCTCTTCTCTGCATCTCATGCTTTTGGGTCCTTGGGTGGTGACCCACAGCAGGGCCATCTCAGTGCATGCACCCCATAGGGTGAAGTTGGGCGCTGTGCTTCTCCCCAAAATACAAGTCCTGGTATTCTTTTGGTGCTTTCTGAAGCCTTTTGTTTGCTTGCTCCAACCTCTTTTATGCTGCCTTTACATACTCATTGTTGTTCTATTTAAAATAAATCAATCAATCCTGCCTAGTTACTAAGTTCCTGCTTAGCACACCTTCTCAGAATCCGTCCCCCCCCCCTCCCAATATCACTTGATGGGGCACCAGCAGGCAAGGAAAATACTCCCTGGTTCCCTCTAGTGGCCCATTCTGATTCTGCACCTTGCAAATATTTCCAGCAAAACGCGAAGACAAGAATGCATTCCCTCTGCCACTTACGATGGATAGCAGACGGTCACAACACTTGAAAAACCCCTGTCAAAACACCTCCAAATTTCCCTTGTAAATATCCTTGTCCCCAGATCCTTCACTGATCATTTCGCTAACCATTAATCCAACCAATTCTGTCTTTGCTTCTTAGGCAGATGCCTGGCCACTGGAAAGAGGAAACTTACAGCTTCAAACCCAAACTCTTTTGCCCTTTGTTCTGTGGCAAACTAGCCCGCAGGAAACCAACTAGGTTACGTAAGATGAAAACACTGGCAGCGATCTATGAAGGACCTGCAGCAGAAGAGTTACACCTCAGGGTTACATCGCTCCACCTAACTCCCTTGTATCGAGGACGGATAGCTTATGATTCCAATATGGTGTCTATTCAAATATGTACTGTATTATAGATAAATAAATATACAATGGAGGCTGGGGCACATTACAGTCTGAATGACAGGAACAACAAGCCCAGATTATATCCCTTACACAAATAGTACACTTGGGCCGTGGGCCATCTCTGATGGAGGCTGAAGAACATCTCTCTTTCTCTCTCCTTCATATACAAACTCTCTTGCAAAGAGGCTATAATGTAACAGAATGGCAACAAATATTCCAACTAAGGGAACAAGTGAGTCAACAACCAAATGTTGACAGCACAGCTTTTGTTAGAACATGAAAGGGTGTTTGGATTTAGAGGGAAAAAAAACTTTTATGCAAGAGGAAAGGAGTGATGGAAATGTAATGGTTTTCACTTTTACACAGGTTTTTTTTTTAACTTTCTTACCCGCTACCCGGACAACCGCTCTCTCCGCCGGATCCAGCACGGAGTCTTGGCTCTTCCTCTTTTTCTGTTCATGAAGAGGTAAGTTCCAGGGGAGGGTGTCTCCTGGCGGGCAAGGGGAGAGGCTGCCGGACCGCTCGCTCCGGTAGGACCGCTCGCTCTTGCAAGACGGCTCGCTCCGGTAGGACCTCTCGCTGAGGGTCTCTTCGTCCGAGGAAGACATGATCCCTGCCACGGACGGTGTGGTGAGTCCTTCTCAAGAAGCAACCTGTAAACAGAGGACGGGTCCACAGCGTGAGCGAGGGAAGGAATGAGGATGGCCGGGTGGGGGATGGCAGGGTGGGTGGGGGGCAAATGGGAAACAAAACAGGGCATGCCAGCTTTGGGACTACCAGGAAGTAAACGCACAGCTTGAGAGTCAGCGTAGACTCCGAAACAGAGTCTCCGGTGCCAAAGTCATGAGTCCTGGTCCCTCTTAAAAACAAGCCTTTTTTCCCCCAGAAGAAAAGGGAGGGGTGGGTGGGTCACAAGCTAAGTCCAAGTTGTATTTGGGGGGGGGGCAACTGAAAAATTAAGTTTGACTTGACAGCAAGTCATACTTAGTGCCCGGAAGGCCTTGGCAAGAAAGAGGGCTGCTTCTGGCAAAGCAACAACGGATGATGCCGGTCTCTCCTTCCCCCCCTTCCCGCCCCCAAGCCAACAAACGCAGGGATCAAAGACAACCAACTGCCCCCAAGCCGCCTGGCTTTGGACAAGATCCCTGCGAGGATGGCATGAAGGAATTGCTGGCATCTGGTTAAGGGAAAAATCAGTGGCTGGAGGACAGTCTCTCTGGGCCTCAGGCTGAGCTTCGCTGGCTATGGAAAGACAAGCCCCTTGAAACCTCGGCCGCCCTATCCAGGGCAGCTGCTCCAAGGTGTAAAGGGTTAGCCACCCAACCCTCAGCTTGGACACCTTCCAGGCCAAAAGCAGGGGGATGGAGGAAGAGAGAGAGAGAATCCTACCCGCACAGAGCATCTCCTTCTGGCAAGGGGATGGCAAACCACCTTCCTCCCTTCTGGAAAGCAGAGCAGAGCCAACCTGTTCCTCTGGACCGCCAGGTGTGCTCCCGGCTCCTTTTAATTTGGGGAAGATCTGCTGCAGCTGGAGAGGCTAGAGCCCTGGAGCCAGAGCTGTGGGGTGGGGGGGTTCAGCGGCAAGCCACAGACTGCCTTCCTGAAAGGCAAGGCTGGGGCTCCAGGGGTCTTCCTCCCCAGAAAGGGGGGGGTTGTCACTGCTGATTCCTCCTCACTGAGGTCTGGTTCCTTGGTGGGGCCTGTCCTCTGTTTCAAAGTGGTCCCTCTAGGTCCAGGAGAGGTGATTCCCTGGCACCCCATACTTCCTCTGTCTTTTGGTAGGGTGTACATAGCTTAAGACCTGGACCCGTGTTTGCTTGCTTGCTTTCAGTCCCCTCTTGTTCCTTCCCTTCCTTAGAGCAGCCTTTGAACCCCAAAGGACTTCCAAACCCTGGGCAGGGCGCTGGAAATGGCCGCCTCGGCTCGGCACCCAGGCGCCACCTTTTCACAGCCATGCTAGACCTCTGGTGCCAAAGGACGCATCCTTTCCTGCGGTGCCCATTGAACCACTGGGCTTCTTTAAGCGCCACCGGCAGGCGAGGGAGAGGAGGAAACAAGCCCCTCAAAGCAGAGATGAGCCAACACTAAGTTTTGCCCCTTTCCTTGTGGAGCTCCCGGAACAAAGAAAAACCTCCTTGAGTTGAAAAGCTTGAGGTCTGCAGGAGGATCTTTAAAATGTGCTCCAAATGGCTTATGCAGATCCACAGGCATTATGCCTGTTCGTTCGTTTCCACTGAATTGATTCACTTGAAATGTGCTGGAAGAGACCCTTGTGCAGACCCTAGATGGTCAGAAACCCTCGATCAAACCACACCTGAGCCCTCTGGAGGCGAAAAGGACAAAACTGTCCTGTCCTGCTTTGGGCCCATCCTGAGAAGGCAGGATTTTCTGGAAAAGACAAGAATGCTGGGGAAAGAGGAAGGCAGCAGGAGAAGAGGAAGACCCAATAACACGAGATGGACGGACTCCCTCAAGGAAGCCACAGGATTGAGTTTGCAGAAGCTGAGCAGGGCAGTTGAGGACAAAGCGTTTTGGAGACGGCTCAGTCATAGGGTCGCCGTGGGTCAGAGGCAACTTGACAACACATAACAACAAATGCATATTCCTATATTTTGCACATAGATGATCATTGACTATCAGAAAAATATGTTTTCTTGGGTTACACAGATGTATTCATTATATTTTCATCCCAACTCTTTGTAAAGGTTTCTTTCTTTCTTTCTTTCTTAACACCTGAACTTGGGATTCCTTAAAGGGACAGCCCCAAACCTGGAGCCCCAGATAGTCTTAAATTATAATTCCCTGAACACTAGCGATGCTGGTGGGGAGTTGTAGGCCAAGAAAATCTGGGGCATCATCTGGGAACAGTGACACTAGATTCTGAACAGAAAAAAAAACAACACATACGCCATGCTTTTTCACTAAACACCATTCCCTGGTGGAACTCAGTGCTACAAGATACAGTGTTCACCATTGTTTTAGATAAATACCAGGAGGGAGGTGTCAATAACTGGCTATATGATATTTATACTCGTAGCTTCAAGGTTCAGGTGAAGTTTGTTTCTTGGTAACTTTTGCCTGGGGGAAATGGCAGGAGGTTCCACACTAGAATTCTTCTGCTCCAGCTGCCTCCCTCTACACTCATCCCTTGTCAGCCTTCAGAGTTTGAAAATAAGACAGTCCCATCAGGAGGACAACAGAGCTGTAATTGGGGGGATTGGAAAGGGGGCTTTAGGGTCTCTGAACCCTCCTCCAGCCTCATTTTCAAACCAGCCTTCACATCCATGAGGTCTACGAACTTGCTCTTTTTTTAAAAAAAAAGAAAACAAAAATAAGTGAGCAAAGAAACAAACAAAGCAGAGGATCTTTTCCCCATGACAGGCGGTTGCCAGCCTCCTTGTAAGTAAATGGGTGGAGGCATACTTGCCCACTAAGGAGACTACAGGAAATGAATCACTTCTGAACAATACCAGGTAAACAGGGGGAAATTCAGCAACTGATCTGCAGTTGAAAAAAAGAGACTCTTAACAGTTTGGTGCTGAGTGTGGGTCGTTGTCCCCCCCCCCCGTTGATCCATTAAATTTTTTTTTTAAATTTCAATAGTGATTTAATACTACAATTAGTTTAATTTTTTTTTAAAAAAAAAACCTATACATTGGAAGCTTTAATGTGTTTCTAAGGCATCTGTGTTACCTCTTTTTATCTGGATCTATTTCAACTTCATTGTTAGCAGTTTTCATTCTGTGGTAAGCTACCGATTCCAAAAGAAAGGGCTTTAAAAAAAAAGATTAAATAAAAATAAAATCACTATGTGCACGTAGCTGATGAATGAATGCCGCTCACTGATTGGGGACACACACACACACACACACCTTCCCCTAAGAACACTCACAAAAGACTTGTGCTTGGGTCCATCTGGAAGCCAATTGCCCCAGACAGTTGGGGAGAGGAAGCCCCTCTGCACATGCACAGAGGTGCCTTCCGTCCTAATCTCCAGTGCTCCAGCCTCACCTTCAGCGCGGAAAACCAGTCCCCAGAGCTAAGCTCCTATTAAGCTCCCATTTAATTCTTACAGATCTGGGCAATCCCACTTCCTTAGGAAACAAAGTAGGTTTTGTTCACAAAGGGTTCCAAGAATGTTCTCCTTTTCCTTTCCTTTTGAAAGTCATGGGCTCGCTCTCTCCCAGACGGAGGGTTCTGCCCTAAATCCTCCAACATGTGATCCTCCCTTGCAGAAATCATGGGGTTCCTTAGGCAGCGCCACCCCATAAAACCGCCTGCCTCCTTTTCTTCTCCTCCTCCTCCTTTTTTTCCCCCCTTTTCCATTCATCGGTCCGGTTCCCCCCCCCCCGCCCCGGCATAGCTCCTTCCCTTCCTGGCAGGCTGGAGTTGGGTGGATGGACTGGGGGCTGAGGGGGGGTGGAAAGGGAGGCAGGCAGGGAGAGCCATAAGGATCCCTTAGGTGTCCCTTTGAAATCCCAATAAGGCTGCAAGATATGTAGGGGG